AGCAAACCTTAACCTCATCTAACAAACCTTAACCTCATTCAACAAGTTCTTATCTCTTTTGCCAAATGTTCATCTCGTGAAAAAAAAAACACTCACCGACTCTAAGCTGACCCTCATCTCATCGAGCTCAGCCTGTAGGCCTTGGCAACGGCGCTGAGACACACCCAGCTGATCTACGGTCTGCTGTAGTTGTCTATGCACCTCATCGTAATGGGTCTGCAGCTCCTGGGGTTGAAGAAAAAAGAGGTCATAAATTAGTGTCATTGAATATAATAGGAGCAGTGGTTACGAAGATAGATGTAGATAACAGAATCAGTGTTATATAAAATAGTAACGACGCGGTAACAAAAATGGATGTAAAAGAAACATTTGAAACCTTATTTTACTTTCCTATTGAGGTCTATCACGAAGTAAACCGTATGGTGTCATCATCGCACTGTTACGAACCATTTGTGAGATGCATTTTCTTAGAAACGGTCTGGAACTCACCGTGATTTGCAGAGACTGTTTCTTGATAACTTTTTGCAAGTCAATGTTCTGCTTGTTGGCCGTATCCAAGGCCATCTCGAGCTCCGTTATTTGCACCTGGTACTTCTTCTTCAATCGAGCGACTTCTGACTTCAGTTTTGCCTCTGCTTCTGCTAGTCTCATGCTCAGCTGCTCTATTTCGATCTCCTTCTGCTTCCTGTGGAATGAGATCAGATCTTTATTAAAAAAAACTGCCGTTACTAAGCGGTGTTCTTATTACTCGTTGGAGTTGTTATCTTGAGAATTGGTCCCTTGTTAGGTGTCAAAGCAATTATGGTAACAGTTACATCAGAAGGGCGAGGGAATGTAAAGAAAGTCGTTTTCAACAACAACTACAAAGACCTGGTGTGAAAAAAGATACTGATCATAAATTTGGACTTCGTAAAACTAAATATAAACTGATCTTAAAGACGAGTAATGTTAGAGGGAGCCACTACAAACTGATCATAAAGACAAGTATTGTTAGAGGGAGCCACTATAAACTGATCTTAAAGACAAGTATTGTTAGAGGGAGCCACTATAAACTGACCTTAAAGACAAGTACTGTTAGAGGGAGCCACTACAAACTGACCTTAAAGACGAGTAATGCTAGAGAGAGCCACAATACTTGTCTTTAAGATCAGTTTGTAGTGGCTCCCTCTAACAGTACTTGTCTTTAAGATCAGTTTGTAGTGGCTCCCTCTAACAATACTTGTCTTTAAGATCAGTTTGTAGTGGCTCCCTCTAACAATACTTGTCTTTAAGATCAGTTTGTAGTGGCTCCCTCTAACAATTGAGATTAGTTTGTATAGGATATAGAGATACAAATGAAATATGGCTTTATAGTTTAGTACTACGAGCAGAATGACCACCCCACGGGCGGCTGTTCGTGCTAGTAATTATTAATCACAGTATTCATACCTCATTGAAAAAATTTATAAAAAGTGAACATTTTAAAAAACAGGATTTTTTTTGTGTGTGGAAAGTACTGCACGGGAACAGTGTTCGGAATGTTCTCTTTAGTCATACGCAACTTATTGCATCAAAATGATTCAATGTACAGAGCTCAAAATTTTCATAAATGTTACTGATATAAACTGTTATGTTATATATATTAAAAGTGTTACCGTTTATTAAAAAAATAACAGTTTTTTAAGAACTCCAGTTTCTCAGTACTACATTTATATATTACATCAATAAAGATATAATCCAACCCTCACGTACAGTCCTTGTGAGGAGAGTAAGTGTATTTAAAATTGTGTTATATTATAAATAAATGGTTGTTACACATACCACAGTTATTTTTCAAATTGTTTAATGTTTGTGGTGCCGTTTAATAGATGGCGCCACCTTCCAGAAGCCGTTTATATACCACAGTTATTTTTGTAAATCTTGAATACCCAAAATGTGAAATGTTTATGGATTTTTGTTTGTGGTTCCATTCAACAGATGGCGCATGAGTTTTGGTTACATACATAGATACTGACGTACAGGCTACGTCCATTATAGTCAGATTGAAAACGATGAGGTTAGCAAAATTTACAGAGTCAGCTTCTCCTCAATCCCACAGAGGACTGGATATGAGTGTTTCGTAGTAAATTTAGGGTTGTCATCATATATGGTGTAACTAAGTTTCGTAGTAAATTTAGGGTTGTCATCATATATGCTGTAACTAAGTTTCGTAGTAAATTTAGGGTTGTCATCATATATGCTGTAACTAAGTTTCGTAGTAAA